GAAGAGGCTGCACAGACATTTGTGGAATGTCTGCCCTCAGGCATTTTCAAGACCTGATGGGCAAAAGCCCTGAGCAACCTGCTCTGAACTCCGTGTTGACCCTGCTTTGAGCAGCACATTGGACCAGTTAACCTCCTTCCAACCTGAGTGATTCAATGGTTCTACAGTCTACTCTCAGATAAAAGGTATCAAGTTCCTTGAAAGCACAAGAAAGAACCCCAGGAGTTTTGCAGAAAGTCTTAAAAATCAGGTTTTTTTAAAAAATAACATCCATGAGGAATTTTGTTCCAAGCACCAGGTTGCACTACTTATGCACAGTGCAATTAAATCAATACTATGACTGAAAACCCTGTAGTAAAAGCACTTTTGTAATAAATTTATGAAGTGCATGCAATTAAAGTTAGCAAAAGACAAAACAAAAAGTATCCACTTCTAGGAAGATCCATTGGAAATAAGTGATGGATTTCCACTGAATTCCTTTTATAAATATCAATAACAGCATAATAATTTACAGGCCACATTAACTGTCTTTCTTCATTATGGGTACTTCTGATTAACAGTGCAACCCTTCTTAAAAACACACATATTGGCTAAAGCAGACAAACCCCACTGCAGCCCAAGGAAGCAGACGCACACACCCACACAGAAAGCACTCTGCAGGTGCAACACATCCTCACCTTGAGGTTGGGTTTTGAGAGAAGTTTCAGCAGTTCTCTGATCTCGCTGCTCAGGGGCTTGCTCTGCAGCTCCTCAGCGAGCTGGGTGGGAGAAGGAACCAACACACAGACCATTAGCAAAGTGCTGTTTTACCCAGCGCATCGGTGACAACCCAGCATCTGTCTTGTTCAAGGTTATTACTATCCAGCGTGTTCAAACAGAAGCCAGCATGAAGAAAAACACCATCAATCACTGCGCTTCTTTTTCTGGCCCTCAGTGGACCAGATTTAAGCCAGGCCTTTTGGCTCAGTTTAACACAAGTAATCATTTTTGGCAAGGGTGCAGCCAGATCACATTCTGATTTATAGCGATGGGGGCAAATCCCAGCACTTCATTTAGGTGAATGGTCCTTTGCGTGCAGACAAAGGACTGCTTGTAAAAATGACTGGATCAAACTTTGACACCGTCTATAAAAAACAGTTTTGAATGAGGTGGTGAAATCCACACTGCTTCCAAAAACCCACAGTAGCTGTGCTGTTTAGGACTGGGATAAAAAAGCAAAGTGCCCCTACAGTGCAAGCAATCTGAACCTTTTATTATGTTTACACATACAGTGGAAGGAGCTTGTTAAACGTGAAGTGGGTTAATCATAATATAGTTTATAACAGGTCAACAGCAATTCAAGCCCCTAAAATGCACGAACTGTGTCCTAACAACAAGATCAGTAATTTATGTTCGGTTATACTACAAAGTTGTGGTTTGGTGAACAATAGAGCAGCAGTCCAACATATCATCCCACAGCTACTTGGCTCACGTCTTGAGTTTTTCTTATCACGACATTCTCAACTAATTTGGACACAAGAGGCATATTTTACTGCAGGATTTGGGACTCAAACTACTTTTCCAGAAGAAGGAAAAGTCAAAACATATTTCACAACACTGAACTTTGGTTTATAATTCTGAAGCTACATGGCTCATAATCTGAAATGTGACTTTAGATAATCACTTATTTTCTTTGCATTAAATCAGTATCATAAAAATGTCTCAAAGAAAGATTGGTTATTTGCAGCAAGTAATTTCATTCATCTACCCTAATTTTAAATTTTTACTTTAATTTTGTATAAATTTTCAAGATAAATGGATAGAAGTATATTTTGTGTAATTATATATAACAGACAATTCTAGAAGCAATTATAGGCATCACACATGGTTTGAATACTTTTTTTTAACCTTCAAATTAATTCAAGGGTAACAGGACTGGAACAAAAATTCAGCACCTACAGTCCCACAGCCTTTTAACCATAATCCATAGATAAAAACATCTACCACATACATCAGTGCTATTCTTAACAATATTTGTGTCTTAATACCGAAAGATTAGAAAACGATCTCTGTAGGAAAGGTCAGAATGAAATACTTCAGGCACATAATGCCAAGTATTGAGGTAATCTGACTGCAATCTAGTCTGCATTTTCCACAGAAAATTTCTGCAAAGCTGAAAACAATCTGTGATAGGAGCAGCAGCAGGTATTCGACACAGGTTTCCTTTGGTTTTCTTTTCATTCTTCAGCTTGTACTTCTCATCACTGGAGATTAAAAGCTATTCATTCCTGTTTCATTGATGAAGACTAGTAATCACTCAGCAAGAATGACTGCTTCAGCACTTCTCTCTTCTGTGCAAGCATCTATAACTTCAGCAGAATTGGCGTTTGCTTTGGTGGTGCAAATGGAAATGCAGGTACATAAGGTTTAGAACAGTGAGAAAGAGAAATAATATTTTGTTATTGCTTAAACAGACTTTGTAATCTCGTAATTTAAAAAATATTTCTTCAGAGATTAAACAATTAAAAATTTGTTTTCACTCATATAGTTTACAAGGTTTATTCCAATGTTTCCATGAAAATCTCAAAGTCACATGTAACACCCCGTGACAGAAGAGGAAGACGAAGACAAAGCCTCGTAGAGAGGAAGGGAGACGAAGCCATGTTTCCAGATTAGCAATCTGAAACTTCTATTGCCAGAAGAGTCTTTCTAATAGTGTAGAGGCCTTACTTGCAGTATATACCTATACTGCCAGCAGTATCTACCTCTACTGCCAGCAGTATCATTTGCACAACATCCAGAGTCCTACATCAGGCAATGCTGCTCCAAAATAAGAGGTAAACAGAAACCCTGATGGAAAATTCAGCCTAAAAGTCACTGGGAGTGCGGAGAGAGAAGGTATGGCAGCTAGAAATATGAAAATATTTAGAAAAGAAGCCTCACCATAATTGTTACCTCTGAAATGGCTTTAAAAATAACACAAGAATGAAAATGCTCTCCTTAAACAGTTTTTAGTTACACTAGCAGCAAGCAGCTCAAATTGGTGTTTTAAATCAAACAAAAAATAGGTATTTGTTAATATCTCCTTCTTTAACTACAGAACAGTTACTATCACTAGAAAAACAAAACATTAATTTCAAGTCTATTGAAATAAAAGAGTGATTTTTATCACCAACATGTTCTTAAATCCCTGAAGCTGACAATTGGTTAGACAAATGTGCCAAAAATTGAATAGCACTTTAATCCTGGAACTTCATGGGTTTTGGAGTTACAAAACCCAGTGCATGTAAATTAAGTTCCTCAAAGTTTGCTGATAACTACTGAAACACAGAAAACCCCGCAGTGTGCTGGCCTGACTTCAGCTGCCAGAGGCCATCCTCATTCTATGGGATGGTGCCCATAAAGGCAGCTGTTCAGCTACGCATAAGCACAAATGAAGAACCAGCAAGAGGACCTTTAAAAAGAAGCTGTGCTCAAAAAGCAGGCAGATATCTAGAGACACTCCTGTGCCAACACATGTACATTTTAAAAATACGACCACATATACATAATAATACATTTGTAGGGTTAAAACCCCCGACCTCTCTCAACTGAAGAGTGACAGACTACTTTGGGGGTTTCCAAAACCATGCATTTTAAATGGGGCTGAACAAAGAAATGAGATTGCTCAGCATTTCTGAAAACATCAAGAACTATGTTTTGCATCCAAAAATAAGAAATTATCCTTATTAAGAATTTTAGCCCAGAGATCCATAACACAAATGTTAACAAGGATTATTAATATGTCACCAAGAACTTAATGAAGAGAATTTCAATGAGCTTTCTAATTTTCAAAATTACTATCAACATTATTCAAAGCTACTTGAAGGTTAAAAAAATATCACTAATATATGCCTGATGTCAAAGCTAATGCATCATTAATATTTGGTATGTTACAGGATATAGCTCTCCTCCTACTGAAATATGATTAAATTACATTATAACCTTTTTTCAATACAATTAAACCTATATGTTTAACTTAGGTTTTCATAAAAATGTTATCATTCTCAATTCGTAACGTCTATTTGTAAAATTTAAAAATCAAAAGCTATTATTTATATAAAAAGATAGTTAAGATTCTAAAACATCTATAAAGTACATGAAGTTTCAAACATGCCATATTTGAAACAGATCCTAATACGTATTGCCTCTCCTAAAAAACAACTCGAGATCATCAACTGCAACAAAGATTTCTGGATTTCACCTAAACCACAGTTTATTAAACATTTCTCTATCCTGGCCTACCTCAGGTTCAGTCATGGTTTATTCAGGTGTGTGCACAATTCATCTGAATCCTAGAATTAACCAAATAGCAGGGAATGGCAGGTTGGATTTTTTTCTTTAAAATGAAAATTACAGTAACAGGAAATTAACTACTCCATCAATGCTGACCACTTTTTCAATGTATTTTTCGGTTATGAAGGTAATTTGGAAAGCTCCAGTATCAATAAATCACTACTGTATTTTTTCCTAAATAGTTTTTGGTGGTTGTTTCGTTTTTTATTTAACAAGCCTCCTTCTTAGCCATTTCACATGCTTCATTTCTGTAGTATTATCTGTCATTTTTCATGTTCTGTCAGCAGTGCTGCTCTCTCATTTGTCTCTGTTTTTCCAAAGCATTCCTCTTGTCTGTGACTTTCTCACAACACGAATAGCTGACAGCTTTTCCCCTCCCGGTAGAGTTCCAACCTGTAATTTCTATTACGTAGTTACTAAAGTAGAACCAGAGGCTATCTAGATGCAATGTTTTTACAACAGGCAAGTGAATAGAAATCAAAGCAATATCAGCAACAAGCCCGGTGATGACAGCACCTTTGGAAACATTTGCAGCTTCTTATGATTTCAGCTCAGAGGATTACATTCTTATGTCTGCACTATGAGGAGTTCTGCTTGCAGACAGGTTTTTGGGAGACTTGGTACCAGTGATCTCAGCAAGGGACACTTACATCATCTGCCAATGCTGCTGCACCATGGAGTATGGGCACCGGGCTCTGTTTTTCATAATAATGCAGTTTTTCATGAATCTGGAAGACAATAGCACAGTTAGATCAGTTTGTTTAGCAGCACAAGAAGTGACACAAAACGACCCAGTTGAGCCAACTGATCTGCTGAGTGACTGTAACTATAGATAAATCCTTGTAGGAACCTACAGGCAGTGATCATATAAATGTAATTCATCATCATCCTCTGCTGAAGTGCTAAGAATATGAAATCAGACGGAAAAAATGCTCAGTATGTAGACCAACCCACAGAAAAACTAAACATTTGTGATTTTTCTCTCCTGGCTTTCTATGTCCATATTTCTAACATATTGCTTTAAGTATCAATTACATTTTATATTGCTGCTGAAAACACAAAGCATAAAGTGTTTATCCCCAAGATGGATATAAAAAACCTTGTAAATTATGATTTATGAAGTGAAATAATAGCCTGCCACCCACATCTTGACAGACAGCTTGGTGGAGGGGTTGCCGTCATTAAAATAATTCAGAAACAAGGGCAAAGTAGTGCTAATACGAATTCTAACACATCTGAAAGAAAAAAAAGCAGTCTTTCAGCAAGTTGAAGTCATTTAGGAACGTTTGAAATATTTAATGGTGAGGTATCAACATTAAAAATGCAATGTGCTTTGATTCCTTTAAAAGTGGAAAGGATATACCACCATTTAAATATCCAGCCTCTTCCCTCCTCCACAAGCCATGCGTTTCAAAATTTAGGTTTTTCCAGTGTGAAAGCTTAAAAGAGCCAAAACATTTTGAACTTCCTAACAAGTTTTTTTGAAGTTATTTCAGAATGGCATCAAATATTAAATATGCAATTTTATTTTCGTGAAGATACACAGATGTACAACTAATTATATTGTGTAATATAGGTGTATATTAATTAAAATGTAAAAAGAGAAGACAACAGTAGACTGAACTGATGCAAACACACCCCATTCTTAGATTTCTACTTTAGTCCCGCTGCTCGGAAGGAGGCATGGACTCCAGATGGTTGGAGGAGTTGCAGAAGGAGCTAAACTCAGGACTTCTGTGCTTAGCAGGGAGGGGAACACAAGGTCTGGCAGAGGCCACGGGGCTCAGGACTTGGCTGGGGAGCCCCTTGTGTCCTTGGGGTACAGGAACCCCGACGATAACTACCCCTCCCTGGTGTGCTGCTGAGGGAGGACAGGGACAGACGCCAGGCAGCAAGGACAGCTGTGAAGAGCAAACCCAGCAGTGGTCTTTGCACACTGGAGATGTTGGAGTTGGCTGCAACGTATCTGCTATGCACCGACTGCTCCCGCCAGCCTTCCCTCCTCTACCACATCTGCTTTTCTCCCTTCACTTTTACCCTGGGCAGCACTTGCTCCTCTCGCTGCCCAGGACCCCCTCAGCCTTCTCCCCTGTCCTTTCTTTTGAATGTAACCTGAACCCCTACTAACCGCACCCATAGCAAGATAATGCCAGGCCAACTGACACTTGCGCTTGCCATGTTTCCTGTCTTCTGTTGTGCTTCACAACACTTCCTAAGTTCATGTCTGGTTTTGCCTTGGACTAGAGGTCCTTTGAAGTAAAGGCCACACAACACTCCATTAATGCAATGCAGCACAGCAAGATGTAAATCTTGATCGATTTCTTCAGCATTTCTGTAATCTTAATCAGATTATTTCTGTACATCGTTGGTTAAAGGATACTGAAGTTCTGAAACATCAAGATGAAGCATGAAGACAAGAGGTGCTCAATTGCTAACTTGTAAAATTATTTGTTCTGAACAGTGAGTATTTGTACCTCATCTGGAAACTAAATGCAAAGCGCTATTATCTCTAGAACATGGGTCTGAATTATACATAGTTTATGTAGACATTGTTTACTCAGCAAAGTAAGACTAATCCATATTGGATGTCACCAAAAGTATAAGTGACTGGAAAACTTCATATTTCTAGCTCAAAAAGCACAGAAACTAAACAAAAGGAGGAGTTGCAGCTCCCTGAGTTTAGCAGAAATTTGTGATGAATTTAGGCTGTGAACTTGAATAACTACAAGGCATAATAAATCAAAATGTCTCAAATCCATCATTTTCTTTGATTTCTTCGGCCAACATCTTGATTTTATCCAGGCTGAGCTTCCGTCAGCTTGGAGGTTAAAAGCAGTCGCCTATGCTACCTCCTACATCCTCAAAGAAAACAGAAGCGCCACTGCCGATGAAGCCATTTTTACCCTGGACAGCCTGCAGGTGTCTTTACCAGCGAAATCAAATACAGAGAAAAAAAAAAGCTGAGATATTCTTGCATAATCCATCCTTGAAAAAATGTTATAAAATTCATGTAAATTCATGCAACAAAAAATGTGGTTTTAAGAGGAGGTACTGTGTAACTTTAACAGGTTATTGGCTCTGCTTATAACCAGCAAATGACTGAAACCAAATTTTTATTTTCCTAACAGTGGATACTGGCACCTGCCTTACCCTCACCACTGGGGCCTGGGTTCATCTCTGCTGCCTCCCAGGGATGACAGAGCACACTTCCAAGCTCACCTGGTGGCATCTGAATTTCCCAGACTCCAGGGCGATGAATGACTGCATTTAAAAAACTACTGTGCACACAGCCAAATGTTTAGGCAACTTCTCCACAATGCTGTCTTTCAGCTAATTAATTTCCCAAATCCAAAATTTGTAAACCATTCTAATATATGCACAACTAGCATCATATTTCCAAAATTCACTTCTTATACAAGTAGAATTTGAAATGTAAGCAATCTAGATTAAGCAACTGCATTGATCAAAATGAAGACCATGTAAGCTGGGCAAACATAGAACTGAAAAGCAAAACAAGACAAGGCGGTGCAAGCATTTTGCCCCTTTGCAAATCTCACTCAGTGAAATTAAACTGTAACAGAAATTAAGACCGTACTGAAACACTTCGAGAGTATGAGATGTACAAGATTGGATTCAAAGTAGGAGGAGAGAGCGCAGTTACCTAGTCAAGTTAAAACATTTCATATTTGCCACCATTTGTTTGAGCTTTATTCTATTTAATACAAAAGGCAAATTTATCTTATATTCTGTGGCTATACTGGATGTCCAGTAACTTTAATACTATTGCCGTCTCTCTGGTAGAAATGTATGGAAGGTATGCAGAGCATAGGACTGTACCACACTTAAAAAATAGAAAATACAGTACATCTGTTTTAAGTTCTTCTGACATTTAAGTATAAAGCTTGAACCTTGAAAATCTCCTCACAGATGAGACTGAGTCTGTTAAAGCAAGAGTTATGTATTGTAAATAAAATATATAAAGCTGTTCTGCTGAACAGATGACTAAGTTGCTGGGGTTTTGTTTTTTGATCTTTTTTTATGACTACTTATCCTGTTCACTGTAGGGTACTCTGGGTAGACTTATGAGGTTCTGCAAAAACTGACAATCTCCCGTGAAGATATGCCCCAAGAGGGAGAAATAATCATTTGCAAATTTATACAATTTTTGGCACATTTGTAGGCGATGGAAATTGTTTTCGGATTTTCCCAGAGAGATAGAATTAAGCTTTCTATAACAAAGTATAGCAGAAATAAGTTTTCTGCAGTGTCTACAGCCTGGATTATATTAAAACCCACAGGGAGCTTTCCAAGTCAAAAAAATGAAAAATCTTAAGCAAAGAATCCTACAAAAATAAGTGTAATTTCTCCTTTTAGATTCCTTAATTTCTGTGTAGAGTTACGATATCAGATGGCTGAAAACAACACAGGTGAATGGGATAAGCATGTACACAGAATAATATCATCCATTTCCAATACCCCAGCTCCTTCTGGAAAGGAATCTCCTTAATACAAGAATAATTTTATTAGTATTTAGTGGACTCTGGTACAGTTGTGTAAGCAAGACTTATACAAAAGGCTCTACAGAACAATAGTACACACCTACAAACTACGTACCTGGCTTCAGAGAGGGCAGCTTGTAACAGTATTACAGTCCAAGGTTTATTAGCAATCTTTTAGAAAGTTATCCACCTATAAAGTGTTCAGAAAATGCAAGATGGATCTCCAAAATGGACTATTTTCATCAAAATACGATAGAATAGAACAGAAGAGACTATTTCAGTTGGAAGATACCTACCTGCTGTATGATTTTACTGAATGAGATACCTCTCGGTAGTAAAGAGTACTGAGATATCTCTCAGTATCTCAGTACAGAGATAAGGTACCTGCAAGATTCAGTTAATTTGTTTAATGCAACAGAACAACTGGCAGTGAGGACCTGATCACTACACCATACGTATTTCCAGGGTTTTACTCTAGACTAGCTTAACCTAGAAAACTAAGTTGAGAAAACAGGAAATTGCTTTAAAAAAATGCACTCCTGATCTGAACTAGACTGCCAATATAAACACACATACCAAGCACCAAGACATGTCTAGAAGACAGGCATTGTGTACAGTGTTGAAGAGAGTCCATAACAGTAGGCAGAACATCTCCCCTGATTGCTCTTTTCATTATGTTCTTCATAATGTATCAACAAGGGGATTGGACTAGATGATCTTTTGAGGTCCCTTCCAATCCCTAACATTCTGTGATTCTGTGAAGGGTCTCTGAAATCAAATCACTGACAAAAGCCATGCAGTTTCTCTACTTACTGGCTTAGTCACTTGCACAGATGTGTAATGAAAGACCCTCTTGTAAGGAGAACCTGTCAACGGCCCAGTAATGTCTCAGGTTCATGTTACATTTTTCGAAAAAGTCTTTAACTCCACTAGTGGCACCACAAACTGAGGAGATGCTGCTACAAAGAGGACCATGTTTACATTAAGAAGCCATAGCAGATGAAGAGAATGGAAAAAGAAACCAAAAGAGAAACTGGTGAAGCAGTAAGTGCTCGCGTTCGCTTCACCTGCAATCTGTGTCTTGCATCTGTAATATCTGGAGCTACAGAAATCATTTCAAGGCACTCAGGACTGGAAAAGACATATCTATGAATAGTTCCAACATTTACACAGTGAGATTTCAAGATGAGAAGTAGGGTCTTCATTTGATCACTAATGGTACTACCTTAACTCTCTTAATTTACTGCCTAAATTGACCACCAACTTTGAGTCAAGGTAAAACAAAGTACTCAGAAGGAAAAAAGAAATGATGGGTTACAATGAAACAAATGAAAATAACCATAAAAACTTTCACAGGCTGTAATTGCATACCATCATCTATGCTGAAATAATATGCACGTTTTCTTGATGTAGAATTTTAATTTAAAGATTATTCAATTCCATCTTTTTCTTCTCCCAGAACCCTACAGTATCAGATGAAAGGAACCAGAATAATTAGCCAATATTTTGCTTTATTTTCATCATTTAGCAGCTGTCTCTAAGCCTATTTACACAGAAATATGGACAAAATACAAACTACTTATTTGTCCCCAAACTTTCCTACGGTACTTATCATTGTAGCTTTGGCACGCTAATGAACTTAAATACACGAACAATTCTGCAGAAATGTGGCATGATGAACACATGAGGGGTAGAAAAACTGAGCAGCAAAACAAATGCCAACTTATTTCAAATACCCAGTGCAATATCTTGGAAATTGACTTTCTCAGAACACATAGAAGTGTTTAAATCCCATTCTATTCAGGCCAATTGCCTTGAATTGCAGTTAGAGGCATAGATTATTGCTAGGAATTTAGCATTATGTATTTTAGAAAAGACAAACAAAATAAAAATGCATAAATCATAGCTAACCACTCAAATTTTGCAAAGATAATTTAATTCCCCATAGTAATATTAAATTGCCTCAAATATAAAGTGACTGCACAGTGCAGAAAGGATTTTGAGAGAATCTTACAGGTATCACAGCAAGCCTCTGAAGACAGAAAAACAGATATTCAGATACCTTGATCCTGGCCCAATTTTCCACAGCAAAAAATTTCATCACAGCAGACGACCAAGTCTCTGTTTCAAGCCTTTGCTCCACAGAGCAGAAGCATTAAGTTCATAAGCAGGCTAACAGCATGGTGATATTTCTGCCTGAGCAGCTACAAGTCAGTAGTCAGAAGTCATTCAGAACTGCAATGTTAGACAACCGTCACAACAGGACTAAAAACTTGCACTAAAATAGAAGCATTATAAGCTTCTTTATCACTATAGCATGAAATTACTTAAAAAATCAGAAAGCCTGCAGACTGGTGTAAAGTGTTGCATTGGGCTTGGCTAGGAGGAAGCTCATCTGCTTTGCAGCGGTCTGTTCGGTGCTGTGGTTTGGATTTGTGACCAAAACAGCGTTGATGACACACCAGTGTTCTTGCGGAGCAGTGCTTGTGCAGCATCAAGGCCTTCTCTGTTCCCGCTCAGCACCTCCAGTGAATAGGCTGGGGTGACCACGAGTCTGCAAGGGGGCACTGCTGGGACAGCTGACCCCAGCTGACCAAAGAGATCTTCCATACCATGTAACCTCATGTTTTTCAAACACAGCCATTGCTTGGGGAATGGATGGGCATTGGTTGGCTGGTGATGAGTGACTGCTTTTGCATCACTTGTTTCCATCCCCCACAAACAGCTAGAAGGGAATAACTAAAAAAGCATTTAAATGCTTTGATGGAAACCCAAAAAGACAGACTCCCTAGCTTGAGCCTTATCTCATCTGTTCCTAAAGGGTATTTTCCTTTTGAGGGCGAGGAGGAAAGTTGTAACTGGAGATGTTAACGCAGTTTGAAAAATAAGGTGTTTCTAGCCCTGATAAAACTCAGTAACAAGTTCATTTAGTGCTCCTTTAAGTAAGCAACTCATTCATAGAAATGAAATGAGGCCCAAGAGCAAACATGATGGGATATAGTTAAATTCTGTCAAGTTTAAAGTGTTATATCCATTGAAGATTAAACCCACTCATGTCAACACTGCAGGGAACGCTTCAGGTATCACAAGAAAGAAGCCAGTTATCAAGATCCTAAAGCTGTAAAAAACAGATGTTATTTCCTGGGTTCATTTTTGTGCTACAGCAGAATACACGAAACAAAAGAAACCACCAACACTCACTCTTTTTTCCAGGTCAAACGTGTACTTGAAGTCCATTATTTGAAAAGAGTGAATAAATAAACATGCATATCGAGACCAAAGTGCTCTGAGACTATCAAAAGCTTTGCAGTTGTGGTAAAAGAAAGCAAACCAAGATCCAAGCATAGAATTATGGCATGATTTGGGTTGGAAGGGACCTTTAAACATCGTCTAGTCCAATCTTCCTTTCATTAGATCAAGTTGCTGAAAGCCCTATCCAACCTGGCCTTGAACACTTCCAATGATGGGGTATCCACAACTTCTCCAGGCAACCTGTGCCACTGTCTCACCATCCACATCGTAAAAACATCTAAATCTACACTAGCATCTGTTCAGCACTTAAATATAAGGTTGCTACGAGTCCAGCATTTCGTGGGATGACACTTCAAAACCATTCTTTACCCACCATTCAGAACGACCCATATTCCAAAGAGAACTCCTCCAGAAATTTCTAATTGCACTGCAATTTCAGAAATAGATTTTCACAACTGTATGCACAATTACAGTAATTTTCTACATTACAAGATGTGGTAATAGCATTATATTAGATCACATTCAGGGGCATTTTTCTTGTCAGGTTACGTTCTGTAAAAATTACACAATGGTGTGCCATCTACAAATTCACAAAGTTATTGGAGTGGCATTATTTTAAATCAGGTGCTATCAATGCAAATCAGCAGCACTGCGTGCAGAGGCCACAGCTTCACCTTATACTATCAGCAAGCCCTTGCTGTTTCAACTTGGATTCAGCAACAACTTGGTTATGGAGCGCTTATGTGTGTGACTGAGCTGTTACAGCAGAAGTGCTCAGGTAACATTGATGGCAATAACATGCGATTAGTGTGAATTAGATTGTTAAAGCAAATAAAAGAAGCACGGCATGCTAGAAATGAAAGCAAGCAACCTCATGCGGGAAGAAGGCAGCTCTTCTCAACTGGCAAAATCAAATGATGTATTGACCTTGTTAAGGACAAAACAGAGCCTTGCTAGAAATCCAGATCATGTGAGTGCTTAGTCGTTCCAACCAAGTAACTAGTTTTTATTGTCCAGCCAAAAAATTCAAGATAGAAAAAATGCCTGTGCACACTGCAGTAAATTGTACAGTAAAATCCTGTTCTCCATGGATTTTTTTTAATCTGTGGTTTCTGAGTTTCCTGCTCGATAATTTAACACTGTGCATAATTATCTCACTTGAGTGTCCTTCAACCCTGATCACCCCTGAGCAGCAGTCTCACAGCAGAAGCAGCTCTGAGACCAGGTCTGGCAAGGTCAGGAGCTCATTGCCAGATCTGATTTTGTCTTAAAGAGATCTAATCAAAGTCTCAGGCCTGTAAGGACATTTCTCTTGGTTTTTTTTTTATTGTAAAATGAAAAAGCACCTCTTCTACTCTTCCTGTATTGAGAAAGCCAAGACAGACATTAAGTGAGCAATTGATGAGCCCTGTGATCGTGCTTCCTGCTTTTGCTCCTCTCTGCCATACACACTGTCTCTGTGTACTGAAATTGCACCTCCTCGTCACATTTATGTTTTATTGGAAAAAGTACTTCTGTAAAGTATCAAGGTACTAAAATTTCTAACAAACACATCCTTCATGAACAATGGGGTATACCTGCAGATCTATGTCTTAAAATATTCCTGATTTCAGAATGTCCTGTATCAATGCTAGCATCACCAATAGCACAGGAAAGAAAATTAGCAAATGCCTCCATTAGGCACACATACTATGCCTTCTCCTTAGCTTAAAAGCAAAGAGAGTCATTAAGATTAAATTTTAAAATTAAATTCATTTGGAACATTTTAGAGCAACAGCAGTAGCACCACGAACCAGTTCTCCTAATCTGCAGAGCAACTTGTAAGTGAGCAGTTGTTCACCTGTCAATAAGATTTAAATGCAGAAAAAATACACCTGACAGGGAGGACTGTGAGGTTGTTTTTATTATCCATTTTGAGAAGAGACAAGAACAGATAAGAAAGGAGAGGTGTAAGTGCAGTTAATTGTGGGATCAGTGACACCCAAGTTGAGCAGCAACATTTAGTCCAGACGCAGTCATTTTAAAGCAAAAGTTCTAGAGTATGAGCCTTCTATAACATGGTGAGCAACCAATTTCCTGCTCCATCACCACCTTCCTGAATGACAGCCCATCCATTCTTTATTTGTAAAATGGAAAAGTACCATTTCCTTGCTTAACGTGTGGTTAAAAACAAGACCAGGTAAGTACCTTGAAAATAGCATGCAACATACTTGAATTCCTTTGGGTGGAACTTGTTGGGGCAGCTGATGAAGACCAGACACCTTCATCAGGAAGGAAGGTAACAAATGCATCCTGAAGCGTTTGTTTAATGTGGAAATTTGAGGAACACAACCTCTCTAAATGCACATACAGAAACTGAACAGAACAGTCTGAGAAAATGAGAGAGGCCATAGAGACAGTGGCAATGCCCCATCCAACCCCTTCTGCCCATAGCTGCCACAAGAAGTAAGTTATACAGATTTCCAGTGATACAAAGTGCTCCAGGTAAGGCTTGGTCCTGAAGTGGTTTTCTGGCAGCAGTCCTTTGTAAGCATCCCTCTCTGCTTTTTGTTTTGTTTTGTTTTGTTTTGTTGGGGTTTTTGTTTGTTTGTTTGCTTGCTTGTTTTTGTTCTGTTTTTTTTTCCTCACTTGTGGAATTTCTACTTAAGTAGTGGCCTTACCTACAATCTGCCTATGTTCAATACACTTTTACCTTAACTACTGATAATCCACAGCATGCCATC